AAGAATATTATCAAAAACACAGATGATATTATCAAAAACAGTCTCTAAGGCTGTACCCAAACCCACTGAACGATTGTGGGACTTCCCTGGAATGTGTCCTTCTGGAGCTAGGCTCTGCTTTTTGGTGCTTTCCAGACCTTAGTTTAGCTTGATTGTTTAGCTGTGAATCACTTTCTGGATTCAGAACGCTTCTCTTGCCTTGTAAGGGTCACATCAAATACTGTGCCACAGCTGTGAATCGCTTTCTGGATTCAGAGCCATCAATCAAGTTAAACTAAGGTCTGGAAAGCACCAAAAAGCAGAGCCTAGCTCCAGAAGGACACATTCCAGGGAAGGCCCACAATCATTCAGTTCAGTGGGTTTGGGTACAGCCTTCAAGACTGTTGCTGAGGATATACCAATCTGGACAGCTGATATATAGAGCCTGGCTAAAATAGTGGGTGAAGAAGGCTTGATTAAAGGAAAAGGAATTTTGCTGAAGAAAAAAAAAAAGCTAGCAAAAAAAAAAAAAAGAATTTTGTTGGCAGAGCGATAAAAAAAAGTGTCCATCCTCCTGGACACTAGAAAAAAAAACGAAGACATGATGCGAGTAGGAGGGGGTTGAACTGGGTGGACACAAATTGTTTGCTTGCTAGTCTTCAATTATCCTGCAGCGGGCAACACAACCAATCAGCCATGAAATTCCTGTGGTACTTAATAAGCATGAAAAGCAATTACGGAGCTTATTAAAACCTTGTTCCAATGCTTCCCTACTCTACAAAAGGTATAGAGAAATCAAAAGCTGCCATTTTACTAAGTATTAGTAACCACTCCTATGTAACAAATTGTCAGTAAAGTGCACATGAAACAAGCTGAACATAAGCTGTGCACAGGGATCTTGTATTCATCTGCAAATTGTCATTATCAGGGAAGTTCCATGTGTTTTGCCAACTGGTGCAGGCCACCCCATTGTAACTTTTTTTTTTTTTTTGCTAAAAACATTGGGCTTAATGCATAAAACTGTCTAGAGAACTGTTCTTGCTACCTATTGCATATTACTCCTTAATGGGAGCATGGAAAAGCAAATCTGGTTGTAACAACTAGAACTAATTTTACGCAGACCACAACATAAAGCTCAGTTTTACATATAAAATCTTTATTCTTACTGTTTTCTTCTTCATCATATTATTGAATCATTTAGAACACGCGGAAAGTCTTTTGTCAGATAAACCTCTTGAAATAAAGTAACGACAACATCAAACTTTTAAGTACATGGCTAGTAGAACGTACATGTTTTCATATGTCCAATAATCCAAGAGACGGAAATACATTGAATATTCATCAAGCAAGAGAGGTTAGGAAATTCTGTAAATCCCCCTTTTTACTTGGTGTCTTTTCATCTTGGCTGAGCAGCATTTTTAATCTGGAAAATTTAAATTTGCCCTTCTTTGTAGACTTTGCCATTGTGGCAGGTGAAGAGTGAGCAGAAACACATGACCTATGAAGACAACAGTCACATTCAGTGATGCACAGTATAAATAAAAACAAACAAAATTCAATGTAATCACATTGTGATAAAGACTAAAATAAAAAGCTTTTTTCGTTTTTTTAAGTGGCCTTTTTTGAAGAAAATTCTCCTTGTAACAATAAAACGGTTAAATGAATGTAAACATGACAGCAATAATGCACATACTGTATCTGGCTGAAAGCCAAGCCATCAATAAAACTGGTTGACTACACTAAAGTACCGTATATGTAAACACTAGGAGTGCACCGAAATGACATTTTTTGACCGAAACAAAAAAAATTGTCGGTCCGTAACCATTTTATTTATTTTTTACTTTAATGGTCGGGGGCTTTGGGGAAATATCAGTCGTCTAATCAGACCCCTGCCATTTCCCTAAATCTCTTTTTCTGCAGCCCCTGTTATGAATGAACAGGAAGCCTCTATACTGAGTGCTCCTGTCCATTCATAAACTGTGGAGATCGTATCAGTTACAATGCCCACAATCATTGATGAGCAGGAAGTGATGTGTAACACTTCCTGTTCATTTATTACTCGGGACACAGTAAGCATACTAAGTCCTCAGTTATTTACAAATAGTCAGTGATCAGTTCTGATCGCTGAGTGCTTGTAACCTTGTAATCATTTGAATGACATTAGTGCTTGTAACCTGCTCTCCATCCTGACTCACTTGTCACAGGGGGGGCGGTGCAGGAAGAGAGCTTGGCCTCCTGTGACAGCTGACATCGATCTCCTCCCCGCACTGCTCCGCAACCTGACAGTTTCTCTCCTGCTGATGGGGAGCCAGTCTGTGTTCCCTCTAATCCCCGCTGCGTTTGCCAACACAGGGGGATGTAGGCCAGTGCCCAGCGGGGAGGAGACAAGTTAGGGATGCACTGAGGTTTTTGGCACTATCAGCATGATGCCCATAGTACAATTTTTTGATGAATTTTGGTGCATTCCCAGTAAACACACAACTAAAAACACACTGTAAATTGGATTTGTATACTATAGTAGTTTTAAAAAAAAAATGTTTTAAAAATGACTGTTTAATGCCAACCAGATATTTCTGATGAAGAGTCAATTAAAAAGCAGAAGACCACTGTATAAGCTGTAAACTTTACATATTTAAATGCACACAGATTTAAAAATAAAGAAATTAGGGTAACACACAATTTAATTTAATCAAGACAGAAGGGTTGGGCTGGGGAGGTGTATGGCAGCTATGTTGACCACAGATAAAGGCTGTATCTCAAAAGAGGAAGCAGGGGTAAGCAAACGGACCATGCCAGAATGAAAAAAAGAGAAAAGGGGAACTGGCAGGATCACCAGGTAAATTAGGAGGACTTGATGCAAAACATGCCAGATTTGCTTTACACAAAATGTAATTAGATACATACTGTAAATTAAATAACATTTTTAAGTTAACATTCTCTTTTACATACTGCCCTATATGATATCAAAATTCTCAGTTTCTATGATGTACACTATATCCAAATGACCCACTGACATTGTTAACATGGTCAACAGATTTCCAATGCTACGTATGTTAGCAATAGGTCTTTACCAACAACTATAAAGAAAGTAAGGCTAGTTAATACCACATATATATTCTAAATTGTACTATACCTGGGTGTCAGTACTGGGCTTTTGCTTTTTGAGCTGAGCTTCTCTTCACTGTAGGACATGTTCACTTTCCGACTTGATCCTGGCGTCCTTAGATCAGGAGACCCAAAATTCCTCTTTGTTTTAGGTGTACTTGGACCACTAGTAAGACCATTTCTGCCTTCACCAGGATATTTGGAAACCATTTTACATGTATTGCATGTAACCACCTGGAACAAGGAATAAAGATAGACACCCCAATAAACAATCATAGCTATTAGCAAGTAATAGGAGGAGAAAAACAGAAAAGAAAAACAGGCTTCATTAATAATGCCTTTACATAACAGTGAAATAAAACATGAATAGTTAGGCATTTCAGTGTATAACAGATATTGCATAAATTGGTAACTAGCCAATTCAACAAATGTGACAGAGTGAGAAAAACAGCAGCAAATAAAAAATAAATAAAACTATTTTACTGAAATTGTCACACTGTCAAATAGGTTGCATGAGAACAAAGTGATTTACAAATCAAACCTACATGTTTACCAGGAGGAGAGTTTAAAAAAGCCACAACCGAAGTAAAAGCTGCCATCCTATATAGAAAGGAGACCAGGGAAACCAGTTCAGCCAGCAAAATCAAATGGTACTCAGACACAGAGATCAGCGTATTTATACAGCACTAATGATGCAAACTCAACGTCAATAATAACCGAGATAATGCCTAATGTGTGGTGGCTCCCTCTAAAATCATTACTGCTACCACAAAGTTGTAAAAATAGAATATGCACTATATATTTATGTCCCTGCAAAATAAGAATCATTTTAAAGTGACTGCATGGCAAAATAAACAAAAAACATATGCAGTACATCTTTCCAACACATGCACATTTCTGCAGCAAAGGAGTATGGAGAGCGTGGTCATAAAAACAGCAGGTTGGGACATGTGCAACTCTAGGAAATGGATTTTACAGCGAAAACAAAAATCCTATTTTCTTTCTTGTCCATTGAGGGACACAGAAAGTCTTATTTATTATTGCTATTTTTATAGCGCTGGCAATTTACTTAGTTGCACATTCACATTAGTCCCTGCCCTCAAGGAGCTTACAATCTAAGGTCCCTATCTCACACGCATACCTACACATAATAGGGCTGATTTAGACAGGGGCCAATAAACCTACTAGCATGTCTTCGGACTGTGGAAGGAGACCAGAATACCCAGAGGAAACCCACGCAAGTACAGGGAGAACATGCAAACTTAGTCTTTGAGACATCGAAAAGCAGTCCAACTGGAAGCCGAAAAGCCCAACAAGCGCTCAAGGATCTAATAGAGTGTCCCTTGACAGGAAATAGTGCAACCCAATCCCTGAGACCATAAGCTTGGATGATGGTCTGTCTAAACTACCTAGAGATGGTGGAACAAGAAGCCAGTGTACTTTTATGGGTACCATCCGGAATAACCAAAAGGAGTTAGTCTTTGTTTTTCTCTGCACCCACTGCTTCTTTTACAGAGTTAAATCCTACGGAGCCACAGGGGAACAAATAGTGGGAGCTAAACAGGACACGCCCTGTACAAAAAGGTCTTAAACAAGGCATAAGTCACTAAACCAATGGTCACCGAACCAAAATATAAAAAGGGCAGAAACCTGGCCCTTGACATTGCTAAGAGCAAAACTCTGGATCAGGACCAGGCCCAGATGTAGTCTGGTCCAAGCTGATTTTCTGATGATAGCCCTTACGGGAAGTAGCCTTCCCAGCTTTTAGCATTGTAGGAATCACAGATTCAGAAATGCCCCCGTCTCTTAGCATCGTAGAAATTCTCAACACCTACTACAACAGTCATGCCATTAAAGCCATGCGTGGTTGTGACGGTTGAGCAGGATGGTAAATTGGTCATTGAGCTAAAAGACCCTGAAAAAAGGGCACATGAAGTGTCCCCCCCAGGAGGCTTACCAGGTCGGTATACCACATCTGCCTTTGCCAGTCTGGAGCAATGAGGATCATCAGAATGCCCTCCAAATCAATCCTGCGAAACAGAAGAGGAAGAAGTTTCAAGGGCAAACATGCAAAGATCAGAATGTACTGATCCCACAAAGGCACCAAAGCATCCACTGCTTCAGTTAAGAGTATACCTGTACCTGGAGACAAATCTGCCCAGTTTGCTGTTGAACATGGAGGCCAGCAGGTCCCCATCCAGCATCCCCCATTTGCAAAACAGATCCTGGAACACATCTGGGTGCAGGGATCACTCCTCTGCGCCTAAGCGCTGCCAGCTAGAGAGTCTGCTTGCCTACTGCGTATATAGCAGACAAGGCTGGAAAGTGAAGCGCTGCCCAGGGAAGGATCTAATCTACCTCTCTATTCCAGCGATAAGACTTCTGGTCCCTCCCTGATGGTTTGTACCATTGTGGAGTTGTCCAACCGAATCCAGACCTGGTGACCTAGGAGAGTGAACCAATGCTGCAGAGAAAGCAGAACCTAAAGTTCCAGGATATTGCTCGGGAGATGAGATTCCTGAATCAATGAAGGGAAAGAGGAGCTTCCGCAATTTCAAAACTGGATTCATGAACCATAAAGCCAGAGACATTAAGGTCCTCCATAATAATATTATCGCAAGGTGATCTGAAGAGACATTGTCCCTTGAAAACCACACAGATCAAACTCTTCTTACATGTGGGTTCCGCAGTCCAGCACTTTAACTAGAGTATCCTATGCATGTATAAAGACATTAGGCCCATGCAAGAGATAAGACGAAAAGTCTATGACGAATATATATGTTGGATTGCTACAAAAACTGCATAGGACTTACAAAGAAAGGCACTGAAGTAACTTTTATAATACAGTAGATATTTTGCCAAGGGTTCTGGAAACTGCTGCAGCAGACATAGCTGCAAAAGGAAGTCACTACAGCTTTTTACACAGCAATGACATTATTGTATTGTTCTACTAGATTAGCAACAAAACAATGGCTGACAATTTTGTGCATGAGTGTCCAGGCTCAGAACTCAAATGCAGCACACTTTCAGAGGAAAAACGCAAGTATTTCAGCTGCTTTTGTTTGCTAAAATGCTGACT